ACGATACAATAAAACGTAAAGATTTGTTAAGGTAAGCGAGCCAAATGGTACCGGTATTTTTTTTATGATTGAAAGATTACTGGTTGCCCGGAGGCCTTTCCAGCTTCACCAGGACAGGTGGGCGAGCAAAGGCTCAGCCAGGAGGGGTGGAATTTGCTAACAACTGCCCGAGCGCCTCCGAAGGAGACCTAACAACTCAAGAGCAATTGCTTCGCGAATGAACCTACTACCGGATCGGAATCGCGATCCACTGAGAAGATCCGGCGAGAAACTCAGCGGGCTGATGCATGGGTTAGGTTGCACGTCGACCTCTTTGTCGAGTTCGACGAGTACGGTTACCGGGGTTCCTCAGGCTGCTTCTAGTGTTAGAGCTGAAGGTATCTAATGCAAGAGTTATTGGATCTGATGGATCCGTAAGGACGTGTGGTCCGGTCTAAATACGAAACAATAAAACGTAATGATTTGTTAAGCTAAGCGAGCCAAACGGTTTAACTGACGTGGCTCAGCTTGAATTATAAAATCGTTTCCAACATTAGATTAGTTTATAGTAGTCACCATGCGGCCTCCGTCTGCATCCTTTGACGTTCTCAGAGCCACTTACAACGGAAAACTGTGTTTTTTTATTTTAACATCTCTTCCATGACGGCATTACGTGTTTCGCTGCGGGTAAATTCGCAAATTGTACTTTCGCTTGATCTTAGAGTTCGAATTTACATTTTATGTCGCGTTCTTGTTTTAAGTGGGATTTTTTGTGACTTTTCCGCAACTTTCTTCCTGGTTGTGAATTCGTCGATTTATTACGATAAAGTATTATACATATTGAGCACTCTGGATCCAAACCAGCCTTTAGGTTAAGGTAGTTTTGGCGTTAATTTTGTAGGTAGCAGCTTGGCTCTGCCCCTGGCATTGCTGACGTCCATGAGCGACGGTAACCACTCACCATGAGGTGGGCCGTATGCTCGTCTGCCTACACGGCAATAAAAAAAAATTGTTTTATTATCATTATTGCTTTTTTTTATTCCGAGATGGTAGTTATTGTTTTTATTTAATCCTGGTGTATACTATATGAAATTTTAATGAATGTAATATGGATGGAAAATCTGAAGTAAATGAAATAAATAAATAAATAAAATAAATAAAGGTAGATAACGGTAGGCTGAGATAAAGCTTCGCTTAATAACTGCAATATTCTGAAACCTTTACTGAAATTCAATAAAATTGACAAATTTTTAGACAATTTTTTTTCATTAAACTATAAATATGCCTAAAACGAGGGTAAGTATTACAAAATTACCTTGTCTATTTTATTATTAATTATTTATTTCTAGGTATATTTTATCGCTAGATGGATAGTGTCTATAGACATATAGTCGAAATTTCATTTTTCTTATAGACCGAATATTATGATCATTATAAACTTTTGTTTTAAAACACATTTAATTAGAAACTATTGTTGATGTGTCCACTATTGAAATATATTATCCACAATTCTTCATATGTTCAAAAACATTCTTTGTACAAAAATTATGTTATATTGTAAGTAATTACACATTAAACGCATATGCAGTAATGTAATTACGGTAATTAGATATGTGTGTTAGACCGACGTGAAGGGGCCGACTCGGATGCTGTAAAGGAGCCGCTCATTCTGATTACGCCGACAGATAACAGATCAGATCTCGAGTATAAGGCGTTTTATTATTCTGTGTTATGTTTCACGAAAAGTTTTCTCCACTCCCAGTCATTTTGAATTTATAAATTATTTGAAATATTTGAATTTAATTTTCCGCTATTAACAGTGAATTGCGAATGTTTTATGATATTGGAGATGTCGAAAAATAATGAATTAATTAAATTATATAATTAATAAGAAAATCAACGATTTGATTAAAAGCTACACTGTTTTTAATCAGGGCGTCGATTCGTAAAAAACCTAAAAAATACGAATTGATGAATAAAGAACTAAATTGACATATTTAGAAACGCATCGAAAGATGTCAGATATAGCTTTCTTTTTAACTTATTTCTTTGTTAACATCAACAGACCGTTTTTCATCTCTGTCCATTCAGTTCTGTACTTTGCAATAGCTGAGCTACAAACATTGGCGTTGTGTCCAACTTGACCAACAGTCAGTCTCATTTAAATATGTTTATAATTAAACAGAGATACATCGATTTGAAATAGTTCGTGAATAGTGATATACGTTTTTAAGTAAGACTAGTGGCCCCGCAGTAGTCGAGATTCGATTATAATTAATTGAAATTATAAGTTTAACATTATTATGGTTCCATTGTCAAACACTATTATATTTCGATAATATAATCACAGTATTCGCCAAAACTGCACTATAAATCAATAATATAAAAGTAAAAAAATATTAATCTATTTTCAATTCGCCCATAGACTTTAAACAATAACAAAAGTTTCCCAATTGACAGTAAACAAAGAGTATATTTTTATGTATGTGTTGTGTCAAATACATAGTAGTGTGTGTAATGTTTCCTTTATTGATTTAAAGTATCTTTTATGCATTATTTTCAAAAAATATTAGCATTGTGCACTCCTTCTCTATATTCTCTATAAGTGGGAGAAATTTCATACGCCTCCGTCCGCGCAATTTTCGTAAAAAGGGGTACAAAGTTTTTACTTCACGTATTAATATATAGATAAGTCAAAGTCTCAATTGCATAGTACAAATAATGTGCTACCGTCCACACCAGTATGCTTAGTGCGAGTTTGTAACGTTCTCGATAGCGTAAAAGTTGACTTTTTGTATGCAGTTAGGACAGCGCCCCTAGCGGCAAACGTAGGCAAACGTTCCAACTCCATACAAATCTGAGTTAACTTTTACGCGATCGAGAACGTTAAGACAACTCGCACTAAGCACACAGGACGCAAGGTTACTTCGCAATAGAAATAGGTGGTACCTATTTTACTACTAACCAAAGTTGGCTCCCAATACGCCCATAGTAACAAACTGGCATTACTAAAGGCGTTAACCACACCAATTAGGGTTTATAGAAGCAATAAACTACTAATAATTTTATTTCTAACCACTATTGTAACGTCGATTCATTAATTGCGGAAATCGTGTAACGAATACATTCAGAATAAACTATTCAATCTTTACTTAACAAAATGCGTTTTAAACAGTCCCAAAGGAATACTTTTCGGAGTTTCCTCCACTTACTCGCTCTTGCTTTGACTAGGTTGAATACAGGGTCCTCAGACCTTCGAGCCATTGTGTCACGTCGTGGGGGAAAATATATCAAAGTGAAATCATTTGATTGGGACTTGAAAAGATCAAACGTGCCTCGATATTTGAGTACCTGCTACTATTTGAACGTGTTTAGGTTCGCGTTATTTGGATAAAAAAAATCGTCAATAAAAGTGAAGCGTATTTACTTACGTTTGTGATGAGAAACGGAAAATTAAGACAAATTTTTTTCAGGTTCTATGTCATGAGAAAAACAAAGTTGAATTGTACATTCGAATATAATGCAAGACAACCGGTGGTAGGAACTCTTGTGAGTCCGCACGGGTAGGTACCACCACCCTGCCTATTTCTGCCGTGAAGCAGTAATACGTTTCGGTTTGAAGAGTGGGGCAGCCGTTGTAACTATACTGAGACCTTAGAACTTATATCACGAGGTGGGTGGCGCATTTACGTCGTAGATGTCTATGGGCTCCAGTAACCACTTAAGACCAGGTGGGCTGTGAGCTCGTCCGCCTATCCAAGCAATAAAAAAGAAAATGTGAATGCTTTAGTCTGTCTTAATAAGCGAGGCCTGAGTCTAAAGTACTATCCTACGGCTCAAATCGGAACACTACACTTTCTGGCAGAAACATGCTCTACAACATGCGTTACTGGTAGGGAGTGCTCTGAGGAATTGTTCGAGGTGATACCGTCATCTCGTTTTTACCATCGCACCGCCCGCCACCGGAGTAGAGTTCATCCATACTACCTGAAACCACTGCGGTCATCCACAGTGCGTTTCCAGAGGTCTTTTTTGCCACGTACCATCCGGCGATGGAATGAGCTCCCCTCCACGGTGTTTCCCGAGCGCTATGACATGTCCTTCTTCAAACGAGGCTTGTGAAGAATATTAAGCGGTAGGCAGCGGCTTGGCTCTGCCCCTGGCGTTGCTGAAGTCCATGGGCGACGGTAGCCACTAACCATCAGGTGGGCCGTGTGCTCGTCCGCTCTTGTGAGTCTGCACGGGTGGGTGCCACCACCTTGCCTATTTCTGCCGTGAATAAAAAAAAACCTCGTCTAATTCACTTGTGAAGCTAAACTATTTCCAAGTCGGTATCGTGGTATATCAAAGAGTAAACAAACAAAAAAAAAGCAGTCGAACAAATCGTATGTGTCCGACATAGACACGACTACCGTTCAGTTGCGGCCGCTTTGGGTGGTACCGCCTCAAGAATATCTACAATCTAACTTCATTATACCCATCGATCATTATCGTAGCCACGAACGACGCAACTATTTATGCTATGCAACAATAGATGGCGCTTTCCAAACTAACACAATTCGGCAGCATCATCTAGCAATTAGCATCGCTTTGTCCCTTTCGATGCTATTGGCTTACTGACTTGCTGGAGAGAGATAGCCCGCGAAAGGCTTCAAAGGAACATAATGACGAGCCTGATTGTAATTGATGATGCGATTGTCTAAACCAGTATTGAGGTCAATATATTTCTTTAAACGTGAATTTCTTTGGTTGCGGGTCACGAATTTTGTTGGTTTGAGGTGCGCGCGGGCACATCCGGGTGTATGATTTTACCGTTTTAAATTGTATCGTCTTTATTGTTATCTGTGCTCAAATAAATTGAAGTTACAATACAACCTTCGACTGTGGGTTTTGATCCGCTTAATACCAAGCGGAGCGGGAGCTCATCATCCCATCTATGCACTAAAATATGTTTCAAATGACATTCATCCCTTAGTTTATTTAGTACGATCATTGATTAATACTGTTTTGTATCTTTCCAGATCGCAATATCGGTGGCGGAGAACAACTATGTTTTCATGAGAACCTTGAGCAATACCTGGTCAACAAACAGTGTAAAATAGAATGGTGTTACCAATAACTTTTTGCGGGTAATTTAAAACCTTCCCGCAAACTCTTAAGGTCTAGAATTGAAAATTTCCTCAGACAGAAGAGCCTTAAAAGAGATAGGGTGGCGCTGTTTAAGAATAGTGTTAGCTTAGGCGAGGTAGAGTTGGGTTAGGTGGCGAGGGGGTTGTTAGGGTGTAGAGTCCAGGATCTAGGGTGGCGCTGCACGGAGGGTGGGGGCGGCCGGCGCCGGCGCCAGCGCACGCCGCGACGCTCGTGGGCGGACTGGTTGCGCCGCCGCGGGAACCCACCACGGCGGCTGAAGCCTTTTGGAAAATGCCACACAAAGGTTCGTAGCATACCAATAACTTTAGATTAGTTTATAATTTGCGTGTTTAGTGGTGGTAGGACCTCTTGTGAGTCCGCACGGGAAGGTACCACCACCCTGCTTTAATCTGCCGTGAAGCAGTAATACGTTTCGATTTGAAAGGTGGGGCGGCCGTTGTAACTATACTGAGACCTTAGAACTTATATCTTAAGGAGGGTTGCGCATTTACGTTGTAGCAGTCTTCGGGCTCCAGTAAAAACTTAACACCAGGTGTGCTGTGAGCTCGTCCACCCACCTAAGCAATAAATAAAAAAAGATGGACCTTTTACTGGTTTATTATACGTATTCCGTGGGTAGACAAACCCTTTCTTCCCATGTTAGGAACATTTACAAAGTAGTCAACTCTTACTAAATTATAATTGTATAGCCTTTATCTATTTTGTTAACGAGATTCTATTCGTATAAACGCGGAGTGTAAAGACGTAAGGCATCTTGATTCAAGAGATCGAAGATCCTTAAGAACAGGTAACTTCAGAAAAAGAAGAAGCAGATTTATAATATGCCCTGCGGCCAAAAATGTCACATGTACAAACACTAGACTAGAAACACTAGAAAGTTAGAACTAGAAAAAAAACTAGAATTTTAGTTTGTTCGTATACCGGTAGTAGAATTTTCATGTTTCCATGAGGTCGCTCGTTCTTAACATCGCTTAGGGTCCGCGGTGCCACTTGTTTAACTGTGTTACCTCAGTTATAACTTCGCAATGTAACCGTGGGTTTCTCACTTCCTTACTTAAGATTTAGTTTTAAGGAAACCTTACTAATGGATCTCGAACCGAAAACGACGATTGTATCTTTTTTAAATCAGCAGTTCGCTTTTGCGGTCATGAGTGAGTTCACGTCTGGTGTGAAGTAGATAACGGAGCCCATGGATACCAAAACGAATATGCCGCCACATTGAGACTTGAGGTCGAATTCTTCATTGTATTTTATAACGGCTATTCTTCCCTTTAAGCCAAACACAGGAATACTTCGTGGGTGAAATAGGCAGGGTGCTGGTACTGACTGTTTATGTATACGAGTACAAGGAATTGGGGGAGGTGAAGGACCTTGGCCCTCCTCCTTTCCCTCTTCCTCTCTGGAGGCGCCGGAGTCCGACATAGCCCGGTCCGTTACCCCCCTCGACCGGGTATCCGAAAACGGATACCCCAGTGTTAAAAAAAACGGTGCTGGTACTTTCACGTGCGAGCTTATAATCCACCTTACTACATATTATCTACGCAGAGTAGTAACAACAAAATATAAATTTATGATCGAGATTCTAGTGAGAACCATTAGTTAGGGAGCATAGTTGATAAAGCGAGCCAGAAGTTAGTACGCGACGCGGTAACAGGCCCACTGGAGCGCACTGACCAAATAAACTTTTCGTCGACAATATCTTTGCTTTATACGACGGAACTTATTGTGGTACGGTTTAAACTTCATTTGCGTTTCGCTGTTTTCCTCTTGCCGCATAAAGTCAATGTCAGTCAGATGTCAGAATTTTGACATTTAAAAACGGTAACGAATGTTGCCAGACTATTACGCTGGTAAGTTTTCAGGTGGGAACTCGAAATATGATGACAGTTTCAAATTTTTCAGATTAGGAGCATTTGCGGAAGGCCTATGAAAATGTAGCTATGACGATGAGAAATACCAATATGGATAGGTATCAGCTTTGATCTGTTACGTAGCAATAAATTTTGTTATCCTACCTATTCTAGGAGCCTCGAAGGGCTATTCTAGATTTACTGAACTAGTAGGTGAGCTCACTCACGGGGCTCAAATCGGGAGTGTTCCTAACACTGGCCTTAGCAAGAGCAGTGCTTCGCAGAATCTATCATCGGTTCGGTAACACGATCTACTGAGAAGATCCGGCGATAAACTCAATGGGCTGTGTCTATGGGTTAATTTACTCGTCGAGCCCTTCGTCGCAAGCAACGGGTTTGGCGAGGACAGTGACTGGTAGCAATAATTATTTGAAGACCAAGCTTTTATATAATTGAGACAGCATCAGAACGTTTCTTTGAAAAAGCGACACGACACGATAATCCTCTTATCGTGGCCGCCTAAAATTGCAAATCCAACCAAAGCGGCGGGCCAACGCAAAGCCGTCGTCGCCCTAAACATGTCGTTTCGGATCCTCCTCATCCACTCTCGGTGCTTTTAGGCATCAATGCACCAGTTACCATTGTCGTCGAAATCGTCATGTGCGATGAAGAATTCGACTTGCAACCTTACCCACGGACACAAACTTGATCTTCTCAGTGGGTTGCGATTTCGATTTGGTTGTAGATTCAGCGAAGCCCTGGTCTTGCTAAGGCTGGTGTTGACAAGTCCCCCCCGGTTTGAGGCCTATTAACCCACCTACGAAGCTGCGCGTAGTTAGAATATCCCCTTGGGCTACCAATGATTAAGTATAGTAAAAATTGAGACTTCGCAACCTTAATCTGGAGGGAAAAAAGTTAAAAGATTGACCATAAAACTTCCTCTTCACTTTCCCCACCTTATCCCATTAGGTGGGGTCGGCACAGCTAATTTTTCTCTTCCATCCTCTTCTATCAGCCGTCATCTCAACACTCACTCCTCTCTCTCTCTCATATCGTCATTCACACACTCCATCCATGTCTTCTTCGGTCGACCTCTTCCCCCTCTACCTTGCACTACCATTTCTATACAACTCCTAACCACATGCATCTCTCTACCCAAAAGATTGACAATAAAACTCGACTATAAAAGCCGAATTAAACTAGACTAGATCAAGGACTTCATATTTTAAAGATATCCAGATAAGAATAACAAACAGAATTCTTTCAAATTAATTAAAATTAAAAACAGAAGTTACATAACATCACTTGGATCGATCTCGACATCACAGGAATCCGCAGCCCGCAACTAGTCACAGAAATATAATTATATTTATCGCAGTGAGACTAACGGAGCATGCGACATTGTCACATTAGCCGCTAGATAAAGACAAATAGAGTGGAAAAACTGGTCGTTCGAGCGAGATAAACACCGTTTTCTGTGTTGCTACTGTAAAGGAATTTTAATGATTGAAAGTGAACTCGGTGGGTCTAGAAACGTTTGAAAATGGGATTGTATCTTCACGCTATCTGCGTTTTGTGATAGGCAGGTGTGTAACGAAAGAGTTTTACAAATCGCAAGGCCGCTTACATCTATACTTCTATACTAATATTATAAAGATGAAAGATTTGTTTGTTTGTTTGTATTGAATAAGCTCCGAAACTACTGAACCGTATTTGAAAAAAATTAGAGATCCTTACGAAAACTCTAATATTGTAACCCAAGGTGTAAAAAAAATTACCTAAAATATTATTTACATCGCGACAGCATGATAATATGTCTAACTATTACAATTATGCCGCAATAGGTGTTCTTTGATTTTAAAAAATAAAACAACGTCAAATATCGTTGAAATTTTTGTTAAAGACCCGAGCGGAGCCGGAGCGGGCTGCTAGTCATACATAAATCTCACCATTGAGATGCGCACTAGCTCCTATTAATAAACTTACGCTCAGATTGAGCTGTGATTACAAAGTGCTATATTAAGTACCGCCTAACTAGTTACTCAAATAGAAACTCAAATGGATAGGACGGGTTAATGAATCGTACACATATCCTTAGCAACACACCATAATCGGCGTAAGTGTATGTACGAAATACGAAACAAAGAAATTCATAGAGATTGCTATAGAATATCCATGTAGTAGTTCAGTATACCTAAAAATACGACTGCTTTATTTTAATTAGCTGCAGATTTGCTGAAAAATCTATTCGTTTTCTTACAGAATTTCGATTTGACATACCTTTTTAACACAAGAATAATATTATTATTACTAACTATGAAATACCTACTTATTTCTAAAATAAAAAAAACATCTTGTAAATTCGTATAAAATCTCTATTGTCCAAACATAAAGTCGCGTCCGATAGTTGTAAATCACGTTTTTTTTTTTGTTTTGTTAAACGGCAACATTTTTTGCGCATCTGTGGGCGTGGTGCGCGTAAGTTTTATATTCTGTGCTAATTTATGGCCGTTCACATTCATAGATATTTAAAACTTGTAATGTTCACTTTATTCTCTTATATGTATTTGTTTATTAATGCAAAAACCGACAGCTGCTTTTTAGTATTTAATTATATGAAATTAATGCTGATATGAATACGAGGAAACTTTAAAAACTTTAATATCTAATAATAAACTTTTTTAATAAATTCTTTTACAGAGACAGTATTATTTTGCATTTTTACAAGAAAAATGGTTAAAAACAAAACAAAAGAGCATACACTATTACATTAAACGAATCTAAATCTTTAGATGTTAGTGATTGTGGTCGAATTTCGAAAATCAATAACCCGATTTTACAAACACTTTTATTCTATTAAATACAAGTGTTCTTTGCGCGTTTAAAGTGGTAACCGGGGCCCATAGACATCAAAAACGTAAAGCCGTCTTGAGACATGAGCTCGAAATTTCAATTTAATTTATAACGGCTTTGCCTCCATTGAAACCGGCACGCGTGACGCGGCAGAATGATGGTAGTACCATTCTGTGATCGCATAGGAAGGGCTATATAAGACAATAAGCATCATTGCTCTTCGATAAGGACTATGATGCACTTCCTTGTCGAACTCGTCGACTCAGAAGAAGAATTCGTCGTGCAAACTAGCCCATAGAAACAACCCACTGAGTTTCTCGCCGGATCCTCTCAGTGGGTGGTTTGTTAGGCATCCCAGAGCTTTGTCTAAGTGTACAGATGTTTTTTTAAAGATGGTGCATTTAAATTTTCTTTATAGCTAGCTGACCAGTAGTTTTTGAGTAGTTTAGAATCTTTAATATTACATACTGAATTGATTTTGACTGCATTCATGATATTTCTAATTTTACGGTGGTAGATTCAGCGAAGCACTGCTCTTGCTAGGGCTAGTGTTAGCAATTCTCTCAGGTTGAGCCCGTGA